TCTGTGATTCTGTTTCTGTTTTAGTTGTTTGCCTAGCTTTTTTTTAGGTCCAGTTGTTAATAGCTGTGAATGTGTTTTCATTTCAGTGTTCATATTTTTAATCTTCTTTTTCTTAGATAAGTCCCTTTAACATTTCATATAATAAGGGCTGGGTGATGATGAACTCCTTTAACTTGACCTTATCTGAGAAGCACTTTATCTGTCCTACCATTCTAAATGAAAGTTTTGCTGGATAGAGTAATCTTGGATGTAGATCCTTGCCTTTCATGACTTCAAATACTTCTTTCCAGCCCCTTTTTGCCTGTAAGTTCTCTTTTGAGAAATCAGCTGACAGTCTGATGGGAACTCCTTTGTAGGTAACTGTCTCCTTTTCTCTTGCTGTTTTTAAGATTCTCTCCTTTTCTTTAATCTTGGGTAATGTAATTATGATGTACCTTAGTGTGTTCCTCCTTGGGTCCAACTTCTTTGGGACTTCCTGAAAGTTTATTTCCTTTGCCAGATTGGGGAAGTTCTCTTTCATTATTTGTTCAAATAAGTTTTAAATTTCTTGGTCTTCCTCTTTTCCTTCTGGCACCCCTGTGATTCAGATGTTGGAATGTTTAAAGTTGTCCTTGAAGGGTCCTAAGCCTCTCCTAAGAATTTTTTGGAATTCTTTTTTTTTTTTTGAGAGAGGGAAGAGCCCTACTGGGCTTGATCAATGTTTCTTCTTTAATTCCTTGGTTGTCAGACTTCCCTATGGTTTGATTTTCTGTCAGTTCTGGTTGTTTTTTGTTTTTAAATTTGTTGTTGTCCTTCTTTTGGTTGTGCGAGGAAGCACAGTGTGTCTGCCTATGAATCCATCTTAGCCAGAAGTCTCTATTTTTCATATTTTTAATTGTTGTTCAAGTACAGTTGTTTCCATTTCCACTCTCACCACTGCCCCCACCCCAGCCATCCTTCCACCCTTTGCTCCTACCCTCCTTTGGTTTTGTCCATGTGTCCTTTATACATGTTTTTGAAAACATGCTTCCACCTTTTTTTGAAACTGCTTGAGAAGGAGAGGTGTAAGTTCCTCATGGAATGTTTGGTAAAATTCATCTGAGTAGCCATCTGGTCCCGAGCTTTTGTTTTTTGAGAGTATTTTTTAATTTTTTTTATCACTGCTTCAATTTCACTAGATGTAATCTGTGTATTTAGATTCTCTGAATCTTCCTGATTTAGCTTTGGATGATTGTATGTTTCCAGGAATTTATCCAATTTCATCCAGGTTGACCAGTTTGTTGGCAAATAGTTGTTCATAATATTTCCTTACAACCCTGAATAGTTCTTTGGTGTCAGATGTCATTTCTGCTGTTTCATTTCTGATTTTATTTATTTGAGTCCTTTCTTTTTTTCCCCGTGATTTGTCAATCTTGTTTCTTTATTTTGGAGAACCTGCTCTAGGATTCATTGATCTTTTGTATCACTTTTTTAGACTCCATTTTGTTTTTTCTGCTCTGATCTTTATTATTTCTGTTTCTTGTTCCTCTAAGTGTAAAGATAAATTATTTATTTAAGCTTTTTTTTTGAGATAGTCCTGCAGTGCTATAAATTTCTCTCTTAGGATTGCTTCTCAGTTACCCACAGATTTTGGATTGCTGTGTCCTCATTGTTATTTGTTTCAAGTTATCTTTTGATTTCTTTCTTGATCTAATTTTTGACCCATTCATTGTTTAATAACATGTTATTTAGCTTCCATATCTTTGTTTATTTTTCAGTGTTCTTCTTGTGATTGATTTCTAATTTCACAGCTTGTGGTCAGAGAAGATGCTTGATATGGCTTCAATTTTCTTAAATTTATCGAGACTTGCTTTGTGTCCTAACATGTGGTCTAGCCTAGAAAACATTCCATGTGCACTTGAAAATTGTGTATATTCTGTTGATTTGTGGTGAAATGTTCTAAAGGTATCATACCATTTGATCTAGTGTTTTGTTTAAGGTCACTGTCTCCTTGTTGATTTTATGCATGGAAGATCTAGCTATTGAAGTCAATGGGGTGTTAAAATCCCCAACTATGACTGTATTTCTGTCAATCTCTCCCTTTATGTCCATCTATATTTGCTTTACATATCTGGTGCTCCTATGTTGGGTGCATAAAAGTTAAATTCTCTTGTTGGATTATTCCCTTTATCATTATGTAGTGTCTTTCTTTGTCTCTTACTATAGCCTGGTTTTATAATCTATTTTGTCAGGTATAAGTACTGCTACCCCAGCTTTTTAATCTTTTCCATTTTCAGGAAACATCTTTTCCATCTGTTTAGTTTTAGTCTGTGTGTATCTTTCTATCTTTTTTTAATCTGTGATTTTGTTTTTAATTATCCTAAGCCTTATAATCACACTATTTACAATTTTGTGTCAATCTATTCTCCTCTACTTTAATCCTTCTGGTGACTTGGCGAAAGCACCATTATCAATCATACATATGTAGTAACTCCAGTCATTTTCAAATAGCTGTTCAAGACAATCCTGAATTATAACTTAGTCTGACTTAAAGAATTCAAAGTTTGCTACTTTATCTTGTCAAAGTATCTGACCTTATAGATCATCTATAAAATGGGAGAAGTGTTAGATATTCTTTATTTTATATTATACACAAACCACACTAAAGTGCCATTCATTAAGTTAAAGGCAGCAGTTTAGATACAGGATATTTTAATTAAATTAGCATAGTTAGGACCAAAAAGATAAAATGAAAACTGCCAGCATTTCTTCAGCCCTTGCCTTTTAACAGGCTAATGAAAACAATTTGAAATACAAGCAAGTCTTGCTTTTCTAGTAAAGAGTGAAGGGATTTTCTCAGTATTTAAAATGTATATATAACCACTTACATAAATCTAAATAAAAAAACAATCTCTGACAGATTTTGAGATAGCAATCATCATCTCTGTGAAAAGGTAAATATTACAAACCAAGTCCAATCATATTTTTTAGAAGGGGAAAACAGTGATAGCAGTTGCTAAACCAAAATTACCATCAAAGTTCAAAAAGCTGATCATATTCATTTAACTACAGGTCAATATTATTTAAATCAGAACTGTCCAAAAGAAATATTCTATCAAATCCCATTTTATATAGCACCCAGAAAAATAAAATACCTAGAAATAAACCTAACCAAGGAGGTAAAAGACTTGTACTCAGAAGAAAGAAATCAAGGAAGACACAAACAAATGGAAACATATACCATGTTCATGGATCAGAAGTATCAACATCATCAAAATGTCCCTACTCCCCAAAGCAATTTACAGATTCAATGCAATACCTATTAAAGTACCAATGGCATATTTCACAGACATAGAACAAACACTTTAAAAATTTATGTGGAACCATAAACGACCCCGAATAGCTGCTGCAATTTTGAGAAAGAAGAGCAAAGTAGGGGGGATCACAATACCTGATATCCAGATGTATTGCAAGGCCACTGTAATCAAAACAGCCTGGTACTGGCATAAAAACAGACACATAGACCAATGGAATAGAACAGAGAACCCAGAAATAAACCTAAGTCTCTACGGTCAATTAATATTTGACAAAGGGGGCAGCAACATAAAATGGAGTAACAACAGCCTCTTCAACAAATGCTGTTGTGAGAACTGGACATGCAAAAAAAATGAAACTTGAACACCAACTTACACCATACACAAAAATAAATTCAAGGTAGATAAAAGATTTAAATATAAACTGTGACACCATTAAATCCCAGAGGAGAACATAGGCAGGATATCTCAGCTATTTCATGTAGCAATATTTTCACTGATATGTTCCCTAGAGCAAGGGACATAAAGGAAAGAATAAACAAATGGGATCTCATCAAAATAAAAAGCTTCTGCACAGCTAAAGAAAACAGTATTAAAATGAAATAAGAACCAACCTTCTGGGAAAACATATTTGTCATTGATACCTCAGACAAGGGTTTAGTCTCCAAAATATATAAAGAACTTACAGGACTCCACTCTAAGAAGACAAGCAACCCAATTAAAAAGTGGGCAAAGGACTTGAACAGACACTTCTCCAAGGAGGACATACAGAGGATCCAGGGACACATGAAAAGATGCTCAGTATCACTAGCTATCAGAGAGATGCAAATTAAAACCACAGTGAGATACCACTTCACACCAGTCAGAATGGCCATCACAAACAAAGCAACAAACAGCAAGTGTTGGAGAGGTTGTGGAGAAAAGGGAACCCTAGTGCACTGTTGGTGGGACTGCAGACTGGTACAACCACTATAAAAGACATAATGAAATTTTCTCAGAAAACTGAAAATGGATCTTCCTTTTGACCCACTAATTCCACTGCTGAGATTATATCCTAAGAACTCTGGAACACCATTCCAAAACAACCTATGCACCCCAATGTTCACAGAAGCACAATTTCCAATAACCAAGTGCTGGAAGCAACCTAGATGTCCGTCAGTAAATGAATGGATCAAACAACTATGGCACATTTACACAATGGGATTCTAGGCAGCAGAAAGAAAGAATGAGTTCCTAACCTTTGCAACAGCATGTATGGAATTCGAAAGTATTAGGCTAAGCAAAATAAGCCAGGCAGTGAAAGACAGATACCATATGATCTTACCCTTAACAGGAACCTAATCAACAAAACAAACAAACAAGCAAAATATAACCAAAGACACTGAAATAGAGAACAGGCTGACAGTGACCAGATGGGAGAGTGGAGGGAATTTCAGGGGAAAAGGGGAAGGGTTTGCAGGAACAAGTAAAAAGGTCACATGGACAATAACAAGGGGGCACAGAAACAGAAAGGAGGTGGGGAGGATGGGGGGGTGGGCTTGGATGGGGGTAAAATACAGAAAACTGTACTTGAACAAGAATTAAAAAAACGTGTATTGTGTTCAAGGGAAAAAAAAACATTCTATCAGCCATTCATGATCTGAATTGTGGGGTATGAGATCAATTTAAATATGGTAGACATAAAAAAAGTCACGAGACATTTGTAAAAAATAAGGGAGTGGGCAGCTATTACTCATTAGTAGTTTTTTTCAGATAAGCTATCAAATCTGCCCTTTCTGAACACTTCTTAATGCCAGCGAAGATAATTTCTGTTATTGGAATGTACTTCTTGGGATTCTCCAAATACTCCATCAGCGTAGCCTCTCCCCAGGTAATCCCTTTGTTCTTATTGGCATCCATGTAGGAAAATCCAGGGGCCTGACCTGTCTTGCGCCCAAATAGACCATGGAGATTTGGCCCAGTCTTGTGCTTGCCTCCCTTTTCCACAGTATGGTACTGGGTACACTTCCAAACAAAAATCTTCTTGCCTTTCTCAACATCACCCATTTTAAAATCACTCTTTCATCGGGGGAGACACAGAAGTTCCTGCTCACAAGCCAAAGTCCTGCTCTCTAATCCCAAGGACACACCAGTCCATGCCTAAGTACCAGTGTTCAGTCTGTGTGTATCTTTTGATCTGAGATGAGTTTCTTGCGGGCAACGTATATATGGGTCTGTTTTTCTTATCCATTCAGCTACTCTATATCTTTTGGTTGGAACATTTAAACCATTTACATTTAAAGTGATTGTTGATAGATACATACGTAGTGTTATTTTATTATTAGACTCTTTTTTTTTTCTGTTTTATTTTTCTTTCTCTTCTTAAAGCAAGACCTTAACATTGTTGCAGTACTGGTTTGGAGTTAACAAACTTTCTTAGCTTTTTCTTTTCTGTGCAACTCCTTATTTCTCCTTTGATTTTAAATGATAGACTTGCTGGATAAAGTAGCCTTGGTTGTAGGTCATTGCTTTTCATCACGTCGAGTATTTCTTTTTTTTTTTTAATATATTTTATTGATTATGCTATTAAAGTTGTCCCATTTTCCCCCCTTCACTCCCCTCCACCCATACACCCTCTCCCACCTATATCCCCCCCTTTAGTCATGTCCATGTGTCATACTTATAAGTTCTTTAGCTTCTACATTTCCCATACTATTCTTACCCTCCCTCTATCTATTTTCAACCTACAATCTATGCTACTTATTCTCTATACCTTTTCCCCCTCTCTTATCCTCCCACTCCCCTGTTGCTAACCCTTCATGTGATCTCCATTTCTGTGGGTCTGTTCCTGTTCTAGTTGTTTGCTTAGTTTCTTTTGGTTTTGCTTTAGGTGTGGTTGTTAATAATTGTGTGTTTGCTGTCCTTTTACTATACATGTTTTTTCTGTATCTTCTTTTCTTAGATAAGCCCCTTTAACATTTCATAAAATAAGGGCTTGGTGATGATGAACTCCTTTAACTTGACCTTATCAGAGAAGCACTTTATCTGCCCTTCCATTCTAAATGAAAGCTTTGCTGGATAGAGTAATCTGGGATATAGGCCTTTGCCTTTCATGATTTGGAATACTTCTTTCCAGACCCTTCTTGCCTGTAAGGTCTCTTTTGAGAAATCAGCTGACAGTCTGATGGGAACTCCTCTGTAGGTTACTGTCCTTCTGTTTCTAGGATTCTCTCCTTCATTTTTACCTTGGCTAATGTAATTATGATGTGCCTTGGTGTGTTTCTTCTTGGGTCCAACTTCTTTGGGGCTCTCTGAGCTTCCTGGATTTCCTGGAAGTCTATTTCCTTTGCCAGAATGGGGAAGTTCTCCTTTATTATTTGTTCAAATATGTGTACAATCTGTTGCTTTTCCTCTTCTCCTTCTGGTACCCCTATAATTTGGATGTTGGAACGTTTAAAGATGTCCTGGAGGTTCCTAAGCTTCTCCTCATGTTTTTGAATTCTTATTTCTCCATTCTTTCCTGATTGGTTTTTTTTCTTCCTTCTGGTCCACTCTATTGTTTTGAGTCCCAGTTTCCTTCCCATTTCTGTTGGTTCTCCGTGCATCTTCCTTCATCTCTTTTATGGTAGCCTGCATTTTCTCATCTAATTTGCGCCCAAAATCAACCAATTCTGTGAGCTTCCTGGTCACCAGTGTTTTGAACTGTGCATCCGATAGATTGGCTATCTCTTGGTTGCTCAAAAGGATGAGTCCTGGCGCATTCATCTGTTTTTCTGTTTGAGACATTCTCTCTCTCTCTCTCTTTTTTTTTTGGGGGGGGGTCTGGTCGCTCCTGTTACTGTGAGGGGCAGAGGCTTAGGTATTCACCAGGGCTGTGCACCCTAGTTGCTAGATTGTGATGTTGTATGTCGGGGTGGGGGTGGGAGGGAGGGAACAATGGCGGTAGCTCCATCCTCCTGGGGCCTCAGTCCCTTCTCTGGTATCCTGGGTTGCACTCTCTGCCCTGGTCCACAATCGCTGCCTCACTGGGTCCGCCAACCACTGCTTGTGTACTCAAGGTCCACCCGCTGTGATCTTGCATGCCCCAGATGCCTTATTCATTCCCAGTTGCCTTATGTGCCCAGTTCTCCCTGTTCTTCCAGCGCCGTGACCCGCACCCGGCTGCTCCTCTCCACCTCTCCTACCAGTCTGGATGAATGGGTCTACTTCAACTTCTTGGCTGTCCGACTTCCATTCAGATAAATTCTCTATCAATTCTGGGTGTTATTCTGCCTCTAAATTGTTGTTGTTCTAATCTTGGTTGTTTGTGGAGGTATGGTGCGTCCACCTATGCCTCCATCTTGCCAGAAGTCTCCACCTTGAATATTTCATGCCACTCCTGATCTGAAATATTTCTGTTGAGATATCAGATGACAGTCTAATTAGTGCTCCCTTGTATGTAATTACGTGCTTTTCTCTTGTCGCTTTTAGGATTCTCTCCAAGTTTTTATGCCCTGTCATTTTAATTATGATGTGTCTTGGTGTAGTCTTCTTTGGGTCCAACTTGTTTGGCACTCTCTGAGCTTCTTGGATTGGTGTGTCTTTTCCCTTCACCAGATTAAGGAAGTTTTCAGTCAAGATTTCTTCAAATAGATTCTTGATCCCTTGCTCACTCTCTCCTCCTTCTGGTATTCCCATGATGTGGGTATTGTTATGCTTCATGTTGTCTAAAATATTTCCTAAGCTCTTCTCACTTTTTAAAAACTTCTTTTTTCTTTTTGCTACTCTGCCTGAGTGTTTTTTTCTACCTTGTCTTCCAAATCACTGATTCAGTCCTCTTCATCTAACCTACTCTTTATTCCTTCCAGTGTATTTTTAATTTCAGAAATGCACTCTTTATTTCCTTCTGGTCCTTTTTATGGTTCCTATGTCTTTTTTCATGTTGTTGAGTATCTTTATCACTGTAAACTGTATGATAAATTGCCTGCCTCCATGTCATCTAGTTCTTTTTTGGAGAATTCTCTTATTCTTTTATTTGGTGTTTGTTTATTTTTCTTCCCATTTTTATTGTTTCTTTGTATGTTTCATTGTAGTTGTTAAACTAAACAATTTTAAGTCAGTCAGCTGCTGAACTAATCAAGCTGTAATCAGCTGCCAGCTTAAGTTACACAGGGTGGAGCATTTCATTCCTGTGGGTGGGACTATTGCTTCTCCTCAGGTTGAGGCCATTCAGGAAAAAGTGATCTGCCTTAGAAAGGTGGATTTTGCAGTACGGGAAATGACTCAGCACAGGAATTCTGGATGCTGTTCCTTCAGTTCTGTCCCTAGAGCCACCAACCCCAAATTCTCCTCAAGTATCTGTAGTCAATTCTGCCCTCCATCTGCTAGATCCCAGGGTAAGTGGCTGAAAGTAAAATTTTGTGCATTGGCCCTTTAAGAGGCTCTCTGAGCCCTGGCTGGCGTAGCTCAGTGGATTGAGCATGGACTGCGAACTAAAGTGTCGCAGGTTCGATTCCCAGTCAGGGTACATGCCTGGGTTGTGGGCCATGACCCCCAGCAACCGTGTATTGATGTTTCTCTCTCTCTCTCTCTCTCTCTCTATCTCCCTCTCTTCTCTCTCTAAAAATAAATAAATAAAATCTTTCAAAAAAAAAGAAAAAAGAAAAAAGAGGCTCTCTGAGTCTCTAACCATCTCTCCCAGGCAGACAGAAACCTTGCTACTTTTCACCGCTGGATGTTATCTGGGTTCCTTTCTGGCTCTGGTGCTAGAGGATGGGGAGCTGAGCTTGGGGTTTAGGCCCACACTTCTCAGAGGGAAACCCCTGGTCTCTGAAATAATACCCCCAGAACTTCAGCTGTCACCCATGGGAGCCCAGTCAGCCTTCTCACATCTTCTCCACATTCCCTACAAGTCTTGTTGTGGTGAAGTGGTTTCTTTTGTCTGCTCTTGGTTATAAGGCTTCTCTCTAGCTAGTGTTCCATTGGTTACACAGGATACTTTCTCTGCAATTTAGTTGTAATTCCAGATTGGTCCTGGGAAGAGGTTAGTGTTGCTTCCAATTACTCTTCTGCCATCCTCATTTCAGTTATTTTTATTTAAAGGAAAACATCCTTTTCATGTGCAATAAAGTGAACTTAAGATCAGAAGGAAGCAGGGTGTGGGCTTCTCACAAGCTCTTGTTCCAAAACCTGGACATGAAAGAATGCCCTACTGGGAACTTAGGAGCAGTGGTGAATAGAGGGATGACTTTGGTGGGATGGGGTACAGCTGCAGCCCACCTTGATCACTGGATTGGTTGCCGTGAACTTCAAGGCCATTTCCATCTGCCAGTCAGTTTACATGATTATTCTTGGGGGAGTTAAATGAAGGAATGATATGTGGATTAAAGAGAGTGGCTTATTCATTTGGATTTTTAATCACAATCAGGAAATAGCCTTGATCTGATTATTTTATTTTTCTTGTAGTGAATTCAAAGGAAGGTGAAGTCATTCTGGGGGTTGATTCACACATCATGCTCCAGGACTTCAAGATGAAGTTGTGCATGAGATTGGCATACTGTGTGGTGGTAGAATTGTCCATGGTATCTTTTATGGGAATGCCTTTTATGTTCACCAAAATGATTCCCTGCACTCCCTTACAGCTTTGAAGTGGCTTCAGTGTCTTCTCCACTTCTGGCATCTGATATTTGGGCCATTGGGTAGCTCTGTGTGGCCAGCACAGCCAAGACTCAAGTTATTAAAATTAGAAATCAAGGAAGGAACATTACTTACAAAAATAAAAAGAAATCATAAAGCAATACTATGCAAAACTCTATGTCAAAATATTACACAACTTACATGAAATGGACAAATTCCTAGAAAGACACAAAGTGCTGAAACTGACTAAAAAAACAAAATGTGAATCAACTTATAACAAGAAAAGAGGTTGATTAGTAATAAACTACACACAAAGAAAAGCCTAGACCCAGATGACTTTATTGGTGGATTCTACCAAACATTTAGAGAATTAGCAGTTATTTCTTGCAAACTCTTCCATAATGTGGGAAAGAAGGGAACACATGTCCATTTTATGAAGCCATTATTACCCT